CGGGAGAGGGAGAGAACACAGAGAGAGGGCGAGCACGGGTGCGAAGCTAAAAAGAGGAAGAGAGAGAAAGAGATAAAAGAGCGAACTGACGCGCGAGAGTGTAATTTATTTTAATTAGAGTGGCTGCATTATGTAAGCGGGTGAAGCGCCGATGAAAGGGTTTGAAAGGGTCGAGAGAGATCCTGACACCGACCCCCCGACCAACATCCCCTTCCACTAACACCCTGTCTCTGCTGTCTACCCCCGGGAACAGACTAATTCGCTCTCATCCAGGGCTGTGAGGATCGCGGAAGGGCGTTTTGAAAAGTCGAGATTTGCGACTGATGTCACGGCACGGCAATTTTCCATATGGAATGTTTACGCTAGGGAAACATAGCAGTGCGCACATTAGAAATGATATATTCTACATACAGAATTAAATCAGGAGGTTGAAAGCAAATTTTCAAACGCTAAATATACAGAGAACCGCGAAAAATAGGAGACTTATTCATAATATTTACTTAAAGTTTTATATTCAAAGTTTTTCTATTAAATATGTGCGCCGGAATTTAATTATCGGGTCGTTTAGTTCTTAGAGACTTTTGAACGAAGATGCTACTCCGACGATTACGAAGTGTATTATCCGACGCGCGGGGTACGCGAGGCGTGAGTTACGCTCTTGGGTTTCTCACCCCCGCTCTTTGGCGGGCAAAGTAGAGAACCAGCCAACCCTCCTGCTTTACCGACGCCTCTGATCTCGTTAGGAACGCATTAATTAATTTACAAGATGGCGGCGGTGGCGACGACGACACTATAAGAGAGCAAGAGCCTCGTTGTACCGCGGAGGGGCGATTGGGGGTGGCGACTGAGGGTTGGGGCGAGGGTTACTGCACGGCACGTTTTAATTACTAATTGAAACGTTCTCCTACCACCTTCCACCGCGCCGATCCCGTAATTCCGTTTCCACGTCGCTGTCACTTTCACCCCTACCCTTAACTCTAACGACTCTTCAACCCTCTCCGAGCGTACGACTCTCTCTCTGTCTTAATATCCGCTTTTCTCTCTCAGGGATACTTAATATTTTTAAATACTTTGCATACTTCATCCCCATCCCCGATTGCACTCCCTTTTGGTCTTTCTCTCCCTTCGCG